CATTGAGGAAGGCGATGGCTAGGCACTCATGCGTAACACATGTCCTAACCATCTCAGTCGATGTAATTTCATAGCCTCGTCGATTGATTTCCCTTCCCACCTACCTACCACTCAACGCCTAACCTCAATATTGCTCACCCTCATCTAACACACACTGGAGACGCAGGTAACTATGATCAAAGACAGCTATCCAGCCTTTTCATGTCTTCCACTCTCAATGGCCAGGTCTCACAGCCAGCCATAAAGGAGGACGAAGTGAACTGATGAGCAGTACACACGCCCTTTGTTCGACAGTCAGTCGGATATCACGTTTGCTCCAGAGACGGAGTAAACTGGCATATGCGAAACTAGCCCTCTGTATCCGTGCTGAGATTTCGTCAGAGATCAATCAGTTGGGGCTGATGGTACTTCCCAAATAAGTGAAGTTGATACAAGAATATGCTACTAATTAATATGTCAGTGGAATTCAACAATTATCGGGAAATTAATTATATTACATTAATAAAAAAAACTATGGAAACCTTAACATAAATATATGTCACTTTACAATGATGTAGGGTGGTTTTTCATCTTTCGTCTACTTGCTTTTATATTATCGATCGGAATTTCTATTTTACACCCAGGTAATTTATACACAGCCAAGTGTATGCATCCCACTTAACTAGCCTAGATTCTTCCATAAATCTTATTATTGGACTTATTATTATTGTTATTATTATAACAGTTATATTAGATAACTTGAAAATATGTAGTTGAATTAATTCTGTGGGTAATTTAAACCGAGAAGATAGAGTGTGAAATTAACCACCACTAACAACAATAACAACAGAAACAACAGCGACAACAACAACGATGACTACACCTGAGAAATTTGCATTTGTGCATTCTCTCTTAATTACCCATTTACTATGTGCCAAGAAGGTCATACATATTGTGATTTCAATAATTTCAGTTTTCATGTGTTGGTTTGTAGGGATTTGATTGGTTACAGGATTCCATCATGAGCTGACATTAGAAAAGAGAGAGTACTGGACAGCTATTTCGTCCTAGCTTGGGACCCTTCATCAGTACGCACCCACCATCAGGGTTCAAACCCAGGACCTTGTGGTTACAAGGCGAGCGAACTCGTAGACCATTGAGCCTCTGGGATCCAATCCAATGGCCAGCCCATGAATTCTAATTTCTGCCAATCCACGACAGAGCGACCATTTCGCAATGTCATCCTTCTTACCTATCCTATTCAGACAGGTAGTTACCTGGGGTTCCAGTGGGAAGTCGTCACCAGTAGGGTGCAGCAGGTCGAGTGTGAGGGCAAACACTCGCCGAAGACATTAGGTAGCAGTTGCGCTAAATCGTGAATTGGCAGAAGTTGGAATTCATGGGCTGGCCATTGGATTGAGTCCTAGAGGCTCAATGATCTACTAGTTCGCCTGCCTTGTAACCAGAAAGTCCTGGGTTCGAACCCTGATGGTGGGTGCGTACTGATGAAGAGTCCCAAACTAGAACGAAACAGCTGTCTAGTACTCCTTGCAGGTTTTCCAATGGTTCTCTAACTGATGTCAGCTCGCAATGAAATCCTATAACCTATTTCAGTTTTCATAGGAAACTATGGCGAGATTTCATCTCCTCGAACTGTGTAAATTAACAATTGGCTAATATAAACACTTAGTACGTCAGTGGCGCAGAGATAGAACGCTTGCCAACCACGCTTCATGTGGTTCCGGGTTCAATCCCCGGGCACAGACGCACTCCCAGCTTATCTCTTAGCTAATAAAAAGCCTGGTAAAGAGGGAAGGTTGGGAGTGAGAGTAGCAGCCCCATCCCGTAAAAAGTGAAACCACTGCTACTGGAACTTCAAAGGTCTAACTTGAAGCCCCCTTTGTTCCACTGGGGGAGCAACAAAGAAGTAAAATAATAATAATAATAGTAACAAATATAATATTAACTTAAAGTGTAACCAGATGGCCCAGACACCTAAACAGAAATCAGGTGGTTTGAAGAGTGAATCAGCTCAGAGAGCTGAATCCTTTTCTTCTGGATTAACAAACACCGCTGGTCGATGTGAGTGGTATACAACCAACTACTCATCTCAATTATTCAGTACTACAAACTGACGAGAAACTAAAGTTGACGATATACGAGGAACTGACACATTCAAACAAGCATTTGAATTTTCTACAGTTGGTTAGTAAGTTTTAGTTATGTCTTTACGAGTTGATCACGGATTAATATCAGATAGAGAATCATTGAAAACAAACCACAGGGAGTACTGAACAGCTGTTTCATCCTAGTCTGGGAATCATCAGCCGTACACACCCACTGAGGTTCTAACCCAGGACCTTTCGATTACAAGGCAAGTTCGTATACGGTTCGGCCACTGGGACCCGATTCGATGGCCCATGAATTCTAATTTCTACCAATTCGTGATTTAGCGCGACCCCAACCAATGGAATACGAGCTTGCCTTGTAACCGAAAGGTCCCGGGTTCTAATCCCCTTTGGGTGGTGCGTACCGCCGATGTCCAGTACTCCCTGTGGTTGGTTTTCAATGATTCTCTATCTGATATCAATCTGTGATCAACTTGTAAAAAGTATTTGAATTACCAATCAGATCATCCAATAAGAATGAAAGTTGCAGTAGCACTAAATTTCGTTAACAGAGATAGAAACATTATAGCAGATAATGATGATATAGAGGAGGGGATCTCCAATATAAAAGAAATTTTGATTGGAAATGGTTATCCGAAAAAAACCGCCAAATAATATTATCAATAAAAAGGAGCATAAGGGAAAACAGAAAAAAATTGATAAATCTTGGCTATCGACGATAGCCATTCCATATCGAAAGGGCACAGCTGAACAACTTCATTGAATACTTGGACCAGATAATCTTAAATTTTATTTCAAGGCCTCTAATTTTCTACACAAAGCTTTGGTAAATGTCAAAGATATGGTTCTCAAAATGACACAAAACAACACCTGTGTCTATAGGATAAAGTATTCAGAGTGTGAAGCTTGATATATAGGGGAGAGCAGTAGACAGGTAAAAGTCAGACTGAGTGGACACAGGCTGTGGCACGAAACGTCCGCCTAGAAATGAAGTTGAACTGAAGAGTCTAGAAAAAAGATCAGCTATAGCAATCTATGCTATAGACAGCGGACATAAGATCGATTTCGATAGTTGCGAAATTCTAGGAAGAGGCTTCCATTTATATAAAGAAAGACTGACCTCTGCAGCCTTGCACATTTTAACCACATTGAATGCAGTAAATAGAAGAGAAAGGGTAGGCTTATCACCTATATGGCAGACTCTATTGGAACAAATCAGAGGAGAAAATAGGAATCAATCTTATATCATGACCACTGTGAAATATTATCATGTTTTCAAGTGTTTCCCTTACAACAAATAACATACACTCACACGCACATACTCGAATAGCTAAATATGCCCATATTACGATTCGACATTAGTTGTTACAAATATGTGATGACTGCTTACATAGTTCTATTTGTACACATGTCTATCGATAAGTGACTTTTAAAGGAACTCACTTCCATTTATGTGATGTTTTTTGAATAGATATTTTGATAAAGAAAAACACAGTCGTTTTCTGATCAGCGAAGAAATACTATCTCTTTTCAACGACTTCATTTTCAAGCAGCTGTACAGCGGTCGTATTTATATAATACGGAGAAAGGCATGAGGTGGCACTAGAAATTGCTCAGTGGTCAATATTGCACATATAATAAGAATGAAGATAATTAAAATGATGTACTACTAAGGAGGTAAAGTTTTATCTGTCTGTTTTCGACATAGAACTTTGCACCGATGTGCAGCAGTTCAAGTCGCTACACACCCTCCATATAGGACACAAAACAAGAGAAGAAAATAGAAGAAATGCATAATAGAGACAGTAGATAGGGATATGAGACAAAAGGAATTGTAATAACGAAGAACAATATAGTTTCATTGGCATCTGCACCTGCCATTGAGAACGAGGATTTTGAGCCGTATCATCGATTGTCTCCAGCCTTCAATAGTTTTTACCATCCGGAGGACCCCACCAAGGAAGCTATTCTACACCTACCTACGTGACTGGCTTAAACTAACTGTTGTGCATTTCACTGACTGGTGCAATGTTTTGGTTTGACTACCACTAGCTTGCTCTTTTCCAGCCTGACCCTATGTCAGCTAACATTGCCTGTTGTCAAAGAAGGCAATGACTAGACATGCATGTGTAACACATGTCCTAACCATCCCACTCACTCGATGCCTAACCTCCATATTACTTACCCTGTTTTACCACCTAACACACACTGGAGATATAACGCAGGCAACTATAATCAAAGACAGCTATCCAGCCTTTTCATGTCTTCCACTCTCAATGGCCAGGTCTCACAGCCAGCCATAAAGGAGGACGAAGTGGACTGATGAGCAGTACACACACCCTTTGATCGACAGTCAGCCGGATATCACGTCTACTAAGCCAGAGACGGAGTAAACTGGCATATGCCAAACGAGCCTTTAGTATTCGTACTGAGATTTCTTCAGCGATCAACCCATTGGCACTGGCTGATGCAACTTCCCAGATAAGTGAAGCGATCAACGTGCTCTCCGGGGCTTGGTGGGAGGGGGGGGTAGGAGGCAGAGTTGTGAAGTGGATGAATAACAAAACTTTTAAAGATTATTAAATAAGTGAACTTGTATAAAGATTTTAAAATTGTATATGTATATATTTTAGATGGTCCATAAAATCTGAATAATCCTACTGCTGAAGCTGTGTCGGCTCACACACCAAAACGTTCAGAAAACACATCTTGTTTTTTTTCTTAAACATGCTGGGATTATTTTAAATAATACGTCATGATTCAATCTCACTCAACGGTGAAATTATTCCAAGAAATTTGTAACATCTACGATCTGGAAACTTATAGCACCACATATAATTTTGAAAATGACAATAAAATGAGCAAAACAAGAGTTGTAATCATTTTACTCACCTGATTTACTGTATCACTCATTGATTTAATATTACTATTGTGATTGTTGTCACTACGATTATTATTGTTATGACTTGTTGTCTCTTTATTATGAAAATTTTGAACAATTTTAGCTGCTCTTTCAGCCGCCAACTTCATTTGTACAGCGAATTCTGTTAAACTTAACTGAAAACTCCAATCCATTGAATGTTCAAATGAACAATAATGAAAATCATTAAAATTACAATTATAATTTATTGAATTATTATAAATATATTCAATTAAATGATCTTCTGGTGATGTGATAATTCTTTGTTGTATAGATAAAGAACTTTTTGTTGAATGAATTGAATACAATGTAATCATCAATGTAACAATAACTAAATGCATATTAAATTCGATAAGTATTGAACATACTCAAATTTTTTTTTCAACTTTCTCTTTCTTTCTCTCTCTGTATATATGTATAGTTAGGTATGTATATACATATGTATAAAGACTTTTCCTTAATGGAACAATATCATTCAAATGTAAGTAGCTCCAATAGTTGTATTTGCATTTTCAACATTTTACACATTTGTTCAATATCATTAAAACATTTCAGCTATTGTGTAATAGCCGGATTTGTGTGTCGTCCATTTTTAATGAATAACAATTATGCCTAAATGATCGACTAAAATGAAAGCAAAAAAAGCGAGAGGAAAAAAAGGATGAAAACGTGTTCAGGAAACAAATTATAAAGTTAGAGAAGCATTGGAAAACCAGCCACAGGGAGTACTGGACAGTCAGCTGTGTCGTCAGTCTAGTTTAGGACTCTTCCACAGCAGTACGCACCCATCGACTACTACCGGGGTTACAACCCAGGACATTCTGGTTACAAGGTCAACCACCAGAACCTGATCCAATGTCCAGTCTATGCATTCTAACTTCTGCTAATTCATGACATAACACAACCGCATCGCCATGTCTTCTTCGATGAGTTTACTGCCTCGCCTTCAACTTGCTGCGCCCCACTGTTCATGAACGAAACAGCTGACTGTCCAGTACTCCCTGTGGCTGGTTTTCCAATGCTTCTCTAACCGATGTCAGCTTATGATGAAATCCTCCAACCAATCAAATAAAGTCCCTACAAAAAAAAACAATACTAAAAAATAATAAAGTGATGAAAGTAAACGTTGAAAAGAAATATCAACAGAAAATGTATTTGTGACTAAGTAATCCTTTACAACTATCATCTATTACTGAATGCCTTCGTAAACGTAAAACACAATCTTATCTGTTCCTTCTACGTATATTTTGGCTTTAAAAGTATCTTTCTATAGTTTGATTTGTAAGGATTAGTTATGTTTTACGGGTTGATCACGGATTGATATCAGTTAGAGAACCATTGAAAACCAGCCACAGGGAGTACTGGACAGTCAGCTGTTTCGTTCATGAACAGTAGGGCGCAGCAAGTTGAAGGCGAGGCAGTAAACTCATCGAAGAAGACATGGCGATGCGGCAACTGTCCTTTAAAAGTATCGTCAAACATATGTTTTGAGTTTATAGAGTCGACAAAGAAGGTCTAATCGATGTTTGTCTGAATTTGACCGATTTTCCCCATCAGTATTTTCTATAAAATCATCTATTATCTACTTCATTCAATTATCTAGGAAGTATAGTTTCGACCAGAGGTGGAGAGGATGAGAGTGTCAAAGCCAGGCAGAATCAGATAGGCAAGGCAGACCTTGATAAATCTGAAATAGGTTTCGAAGACTTCCTCACTGACTCAGAATAAAGAAATTAATTCAGATTTTGAACACAAATGTTAAGTCAGTCAGTCACTTCTTCTACACAAGCTGAAAACTTGGCACGTGCTCACGAAAAGCATTACCAGGCCACGTCAGACTTCCATCAGCGACCGCCGCCTTCACTGGTTTCATACTGAAGAACAAATGGCCGGTCAAAAACAATTACCAACAAGAAACTCTGCAATGAAACAAACCAACTAACAACCTATCGCTCCATAAATGTGCAAGAAAAAATGGAGATGGATTGGCCATACACTGAAGAGATCGTCGAATAACATCACGCTCAATGAACACGATCACTCGAGTGGAACGCGAATTGGAAACGACGAGTTGGGTGTGTGTCCTACGGTGACGCGGAGGAAGTGAGAGATAATGGGCAATCATGGGCCCAGCGGAAGAGGACAGCAGAAAATATAAAAAATTGGAGGTGTGTTGGTGAAGCCGTATGTTCCACTCGGAACCCATAGGAATAATAATAATAATAAAATAGGTTGGATCCTCGTGAAAATTCCTCGAACTATCAAAATCTATAGTGGTTCATCTTTTAAAGCCTGAATTTCGCATACAAAATAAACAAGGTCAATCATTAGTCCCAAAGTAAACTAAACGTCTTATAAGTACTGAATCTTAAAATATCCTTTCATTTGTCTTATTAAAATCAAGTGACGCCTTGTGGAACATCTTTCCAGCTGTTCACTGTTAAGCTCCATTCAATTCCTTTCTTCTGCTTTTTTTTATATTTTAAGTGGAATATAGTGCTTAAAGTTTTGAAATTTGAGTAGTGGCGGTGGTGTTGTTCTAACGCAGTCAGTTTATTAGCCTCCACCTCCCTCTCCCCAAACCTTTTCGATCTTTCTATAGGCTAGTAAACCAGTTGAGATTTAGCAGTGGATTGGCTGGGAAACTTGAAGAACGAAATGGAAAAGGATTCCATGGTAATAGCAGTCACCCGTACGTCCGGTAGTCCTAAGTGGTCCGGCAAATCAGAACACAGACGGGGTGTCTGAGAATGTTCGCTTACGAACTTTGTTGCAACTTCTGCTAAATTCAATCCCTTTATGCTTATCAACCTGATTTCGCCTTAGTTTTAACAAATCTTAATCTTCAAGTAGTGGTTTTGAAGGGATTTTGTTTGATTGCATGGAGGATTTCATCACGAGTTGGTATCAGTTAGAGAACCACTGCGAAACCTGGGAGTACTGGACGGCCGTTTCTTCTTAGTTTGGGACTCTTCATCAGTGCGTACCCACTAGGGTTCGAACCCAGGACCTCTTCGTCAACGAGCTCGCCTTGTAACCAGAATATCCTGGGCTAGAACCCCGATAGTGAGTGGGTGCATACCATTGAGGAGTCCCACACTAGGACGAAACAGTTGTCCAGTACTCCCAGGTTTGTCAGTGGTTCTCTAACTGATGTCAACTCATGATGAAATCCTCCATCCAAATCTTTATCTAGTGACTATATTTTACACCGTTTAGTTTTTTCGAATCGAATGAGTTTTATTAGGAATATGCTTCCTAATATTCATATAAGTCAAAAAGGACAATTCAGCAAAATGACACCATAGTTAATGCATTAAAAACACTATCCACTTATGCATTCGATTATCTTTAAGGTGTAGTCGTTTTTTTCTTTACAACTTCATCTCATCCAAATGATTCGCGTTATTTGACTTTCGGTGTATCCGTATATTTGAAGTAGCTAATCAGTTGATTTCAAGTACGAGTTCTATCTTTTGCATTTTATAACCACAAGTATGTTTTAGGGTTCTAGTTCTTGGCGCTCGTATGCCCACTTGATGAGGATTATAGGAAACCTCAAGACTGGTATGCATTCAGTCGTAGAGGTATGCATGTATGGTCCGAGACTTACGTTTCGAAAAGCCTTTACAATTGCTCCGCTCAAAAAGTGAATCGCATGCTATGTGTGGATAACCTTACTAGTACTGATGGCACACTACCCGACTAAGTCATCAGTACTGTAGTTAAATGTCAAATTAAGCTGAATATAAGAGCATCCACTGATCCTCTAGAAAATGTAGACTATCGCTGATTGCACTTATAAGACGCAGTAACTAAAATACGTAAAACCATATGATATTCTAAAGAATATCATGTCCATTTACGATTGGTTTTTGTAAACTCTGTATTAGAGATTCGTACCACAGGACGACAGGTAAAATGGCTCGCTACCGTCATTTAAGCAAGAAGCTATGCAATTCTTTTCTAAGGACTATCAGATCTATTAATCACAAGCTGCTACAGAAACGAAGACAGTTATTATTCTACCTGACACAAGACACCACTTTAGGCAGATCAAATGCTAATAAACAGTTTTTAAAGACGTCCAGGACGTTGAATACAGCAATTCACAAGTAGTTTAACTGACCTACTAATTTGAAGTTCTGTACACTAATACTCTCCACTTCAAAATCAAAATAAAGATCTTGAAATGCTTCATCTGGTAAGAACAACTTAATTTTAAAGCCAACATTAGATAAAAAGATTGCTGAACTTCTAAAGACAGAGTGGAAAACAAAGCGCACACTTTGCAACAAAGCGATTACTTTATGTATTCATGAAGAAGGCTTGTGTGATGCAGATGAAACTTATGGGAATATTACCCCGATCACCTGATAAATACAACATTTTAAATGACGAGATATGCTGAATTAACACTGAAGTTTGGTAGAGTTGTTTATTTTGACTACTCTTCTTTACTCATTATAAAATTGGTGTATGACACTGACATAGATCTACCTACTGGATAACATTTGTGCTACTAAAATTGCACCCAATCATTTTGTGATCAATATCCATAAATACCACATTTACTCTGCATTATTTTATGTCCTATCATATTGCTCATATAACTGTACTGACGTTACCGCTATTGGTTTTGAAGCATATCACCCAGATTCTACAAATATAGATGTCATTTGTATTACTGAACTCAAACAATGAAGCTGAATCTTTTGAAGCACTCAAGTAAGCATCCAATAACGTCATACATTAAGCTTATGTATGTCCCTTTCTTTTGATTTGACCCTGCTTCAGCTAACATTCCACTTCAAGGTAATGAGTGACTACGTATGAGCGTAGCGTATTTTCTACTAACTTGAAGTAGTCAACAAGTCTGCAAACTCATCAACTGTCTTACCTTTCTTATACAATAATCTAAACGCCCGATCTCCAGATCACTCCGAGTTTTTAACAACACACAAGTAATGTGATGAAAATACCCATGATTAGTGAGGTATAAGTTTCCCAATTTATCTGTTGAACAACCACCACTCGCACTCATGAAATAAAACAGAAGTTTCTGCACAGTATGACCAATATGAAGCATATAAATGCATATAGTGAGAGGGTCGTGAACTAAGTAAGCCTTTTGCATTTACACTGAAATTTTATCTCTAAGGTTGTGGTGAGTTTTCAAAAGACTAAGGTGGTAAATCAATTTAATTTTAAGCTAGATAGGCTATTAATTTATATCCATTCCAAAGTAAATTTAAGTTTGGTAGGTGGAAAACAAATCAATCAATCAGAGAATCACGTTTATAACTCATCAATAGAAAATAAATGTCTGTTAGTGTGAAAT